ACAATGACACTGGATATAAAAAAAACTAAAAATGAAATCGGTTTTATGTAGTCGGTATTTATTCCATAAATTAACTTGTTTAAAAATTTTCTTACAAACGAGGAGATAATCGTTTTTAAGTTTTACTATTTTCCCGCTCTACAACTACGTACAAAAAGAGTATTAAATTCATGTCTTATTGCCTCTGTTTTATAAAACGTGCAATGATTCTAACGAGTACACTAATGAACTATCTCACAAAGATGGAGTTGATCGTAAAACGTAATAATTTTACGTATGTTAATATATAATAGGACAGTAAAGGCATCGGAGCGAGACCGGCGTAATGGACGTGTGGCAGGGCGGAACGGTGTGTCGAGAGTGCTGTTAGATATACTTACACCGAAAAAAATATCATTATTTTGTATCTTGCTCATTTAGTGTGTATATGAGAATAAAAGACAGAGCTAGCTAAATTTTTTAACATTCTGCTTATAATTTTTCGTGTTTTGACGGTGTTTCTTTGATGCCCGTTTAAAGATAGAAGCTTTACTGTCAGAAAGTATGTGTATGCATACCTTCTGACTATAAAGCTTCCATAGACGAATTTATTCTAGAATAATCTTCACTTTTTAAACCTTGTGCCTTTATCTAGAAAAAAAAATGATAAAGAAAGGACAAATGTCTTTTTCATTTAACGAACCATAAAATTAAATTATAAAGTTATTAAGATCACCAAGTGGTCGAAATTCAACCATTTTGTCTGTTTTGTCTTATTTCATCTACCAGTATAACGTGAACTGTCACTATATAGGCTTTTGTAACATAACAGATCAAAATACACTGGACCCTCAAAACTTTATGTAGCTGTCATTGTACGATTTTCAACTTTAATTTTGTTGCCTATTTTTTTTTTGCCTTTTGCAATTTGTTTTCACACCTTTAAATATGATTAATGCTTTAATTTGTAAATTTATATGTCAATATCTGATAAATTGTGTAAGATTCTAAGAGCAGTGGTCACCAACCATTGTCAAGCACTAAACATTTGAATTAATAAACCATCATTTATACGCAAACCAATCGTTTACAACGGTTCAAAGTGATTACCACCGTTGAGCCAAAGAAATATACATTTGTAAGTAAATAATTCGATTTACATGCGTCTCTCGATCTTCGACAGCTCAAATGTCCTTAAACTTAAGAGTCACGACTTAGATTTTCGCATCGAAACAAAAATTTATGTTGACTAAAAATGTTTTACGTCAAATAATTTATTATCACTATTGTTGTCCACGTTCATATTGATAAGTGACTATTTTGTATTTTAAGGATAAAAGATCAATATTAAATATAAAAAATACTATCTTTCAAATCCTAGAGTTCTATGAAATATACCTAATTATTGAAAACGATCAGGAATTACGGTTCTGTTTCGACCAGGCGAGTGAGTCCGCATGTGATCACGGTCAGAGCAACCTAGTCGAAAAGTTAGGCAATTAAAAGGTATTTTATACCTATAAATCACGTCAATTCCCCCTAATCAGCAAAAATTGTGTAGTGTTAGAATTACATTAGTGAGAAAAACATTAAATGATAAAAATTGTATGAAGAAAATTGTAATTTTATTAATCTCTTCTCTACATTTCTCTAATTTATTAAAATTAGAAAATTTAGAGTTTTAGTTATTTTTCTAAATGTTAATTTAGTTTTTATTTATTGTATTGTCTAATAAAAGAAATATTTAACTTAAATCATAGGCGAGACTGATATAAGTGCCGGTCGAGTGCCGTGGGTTGGCCCCTAATCGGACTTTTGAGTCCGGGTTAAAACCATTAATTGTATGTGTTTTATTTCCCCCACAATACAAGAATGTTGAGCTTAGTCCGGGGTTGAATAAATTATTTATAATTTTTCTATTTTAATTATGATTTATATCCTAAAAATGTCATAAGCATATTTATGTCTTTAGAAGCTTTGTTTAATAACCAAATGTGAATTTAATAAGATTCTGTCACTTGTCATGAGTATGAAACATCAATTAGGCTTTTATTGGCAAAAATTTTTTTTTTTTTATGTTAGAGGTGGCAGACGAGCAGACTGGTCACCTGATGGAAAGTGACCATCGTCGGCTATGAACGTCTGCAACTCAGGAGTCACAAACGCGTTGCCGGCCTTTTAGGAAGGAGTACGCTCTTTTCTAGTATTTTTTTCTTTTAATTGTAAATTGTATATGGTTTAATTTCTGTATAAGACCGAGACAAACATATAGCATAGGATGAAACACAAATGACCAAATTGGGATCAGGGAGGGCCCTAGTTGATAACTTTTGAAATGTAGTAATGTATTATTTTCTAAAAAAAATACTGGGATCTATTAAGTACTTTTTTGAGATGGCAAACGACAATGTTTGGATAACTATAGTTTAGTAAAAAAATAAAATAAACAGTTAATATTGAACCTGGAATAAAAAGTAAAAATAAGGTACACTATCTATATCCTTAACATCAATCTTCTGAACTAAGCCAAATCTTTTGGACTCATAAAAACTATTGATATGGCCCCGTGAGCACAAATTCGAACTCTCTTGGGTTTAGGGATCATTTGATCAGTTGGTCAAATGATCCCTTGAGTTCCAAGATTTTGAGATTAATATGTTGTAAGTAATTCGAATTACATCTACAGAAGAAGTTAAAGTTGAAATGGATCAGGACAATTATAGCTGGGTCATTTATTTATTATTTAGCTCTAGAGAAGCTAATCAGAGAGTGTTCAAATGGCTTCAAAGATTATATCTCTTGATGAATATGAAAATTATCTGTGACATCATGGATTTTTTATACATCCATCCATCATCTTATATTATACATTTGAAAGAAAATTTATTTGTTTGTTACGCTGTCACGTCTCTGTGGTGACGGATTAAGAATACAGTGTCACAACTCCTATTCATCCCGTGGGTGTCATAAGAGCCGACTAAGGGAGAAAACTACGCAGAACAACGGCACTGCAGAGAGAAGGAAAACTTGACACAAACCCTATACCAACCCGTCTGTCCAGCGTGGTATAGTAGGCCAAAACCTGCTTTCTAAGGAAAGGCCTATGCCCAGCAGTAGACTATTGAAGGCTGTTGATGTGACGCTTTCACGTCTAAACCACTAAACCGATTTGAAAAATTATTTTACCGATTGAAAATGATTGGCGTTACTTCCCAGAGCGAATCTTAGGAAATGCGAAATTTTAGCTGTAAAGTCCGGCTTGTAAAAATATCTAAAAAGGTTTACTTGCAGAAATAAATATCATTTAATCATTTCGAAAGCTACGTTATCCGCGAGTGAACACTTCAGGGATTAGATAGGATTTTTGGGTATTCGAATGGGTTGGGTTATATGAGCTAAGGTTTCATTTCTGTAACTCGATTTTAGTATGGCAAATTAAACTACTCTCAGCGAAAGTTTCATCGTTTCCGATTCACAAGTTTTTAAAGTAAATTATTTTATATAGTTGCAATTACATTTAATAGCAAAACAAATCTCAACGTGCCTATGTTTAAAGCCTGACATCAAAAAAAATAAGTAGTAAATTTAAACTGTAATTTTATTAAGTTTATTGTTACTTTTTGTTGCGTAATACGGGGTTTAGAAAAATAAGTTTCAAAATTAAAAAAAGTCAAGTTTTTTGCATTGTCTTCAATTTTGCAGTTCTATAAAATATCTGCTAGTATGAACGAAAGAACGTTATTGACAGGCTATGACAAGTCTCAACTAGAGCGTGACATGACGTCACCCATTGATGGGAAACCAACGGATCATCTGCGTTTATCATTTAATTGAATTTAGATGTTCACGATCGTTTAAAATAGTTGTGTAAGCAGCTTAGCTTAGTAAATGATACTACATTTTTAAGTATTGTGATTGATTAAGTCTTTATACTTGTATATATTTTAAAATAGACTATTTGTTTCTAAATAACTTTTAAATTAATATTAATTGTTGAGGGATACTTTAATTCTGCGAGTCTTTTTTAAACTCATTTCACAACTATTTGTAAATAATAAGCGCATAGTTAAAAAATTGAAGATACATGTTTACAAAAAATTTTTTATGTGATTTTAGAAATATAGAGGTGGTTATAAGTGAGTGGATTGTTTTGAATCACCATGAGGACGACTGGTCTATGGTATAAAGCTTATGCAAGTAAAAGAACTCGTTTTTAGTTAACACGCAGAATCGTAAGCAGCTTAAGCCATTGTCGTCTATCTTGATCACTATCTACATGAGAAATAATGAAAATAGCACATTTAAAACATTATGTCAAGCCATCACATTGAATCGTCTTTGTTTTTTTAGTTTTACATATATATCCATAAGGTTTATTTTCCCTTATTTATTATTTCAGCCTATCTTTGTGTTTTGTTAGTGCCCCACTTTTAAATATTAATTGCAATTTTATTTTTTTTCTTTTCGAAACTGTACTCATTTTTCGTGTATCGTTTCATAAACAAAATGTGTCAAGGATTTGTTGTGAAAACAAGTTTTTATGGATCTTTAAATTGTGATGCGAAACGCAAGAAATATTAAATATGAGACGAGCACAATTTGTGGCGGGTACAAAGGCTCCGTGTGTATTTCCTAGCCACCTGACCGTTTATGAGGGGTGCATAAATGAGGTTGGCTCGTAAGTGGCGTGCGTTTAGTACGGCCACGGTACTGCCGACCACTATTCACTATTGAGCCTAAAATGGACTCATAATGGCTACTTGTTCCTACGATACACCTGCTACCATCGCATATTTGTTACCGGTATTTATTTGTATATTAAATTCTATTCGTACGCCTGGCACGGCCAACGTCGAGTTTGATACTCCATTTTGTTTGATACTACCCAGCATGCATGATGAAAGGTGGCCACATGGAATCTGAGTGACCGTACTCACACCAGCGTGTTTATCTATAAATGAGATCTCTTGTACCTTACGTGTCCTCAAGTTCCATGTGACCGGCTCGGCCGTCGCCTCGTTCTAATAAAACACTGAACACTCACTGTAACCTTGCTTGTAGACCGCTCGTATCCTCTTAATCAACTTTCCAGTCCTCTTGAGAGGCGGGCCTAGCGCGACCGCCGAGTGGCCTCGTCTTTCCGCGAACACGATATAGTTCCGTCTATTTTTCAAGGGCACTTCGAAACGCGAGGAGCAGTCTAGGGGGTCCGTGGGCAGCTTGAGCCTGATGACGGCGTCCTCACGGGGCCAGTGTCCCTGGCGGTGCAGGACCCGGCGCACCTGCACGGTGGCGGCGTCGCTGGCGAGCGACTGCACGCGCGCCTCGAAGGCAGCCGGCGCGCGGTAGGCGCGCCACGCGACGTCGGCTCGCTCGCAGTAGAGGCGGCGCGGCGCCGCCAGCCCGCCCGCGCAGCACAGGCACAGCAGGGCCCAGCACAACGCCGCGCGCCCGCGAGTCCTCATCGCGCCATCGCAACAGCGCTCGCTCGCTCGTTCGCCGGTCGGTCGCTCCTGTTCGCGCGCTATGTTTCCCCGAGAGCGGTCGGCGCGCGACTGGCCCCACTGCACTGAATCATTCCGCCGCCCACACCGAAATAGTCGCGGCGCGGACCGAGCACGCGTCGCTCATTTATCTCGTCCGATGATTAATTTGCGCTTGTTATATGTAATTAGTGGGTACCATGTCGATTGTTTGATTAGCTCTGCGTTTGGGGGTGCGCTATCCACGCACATCACTTCATCGACTGCAAACATTTTGATGTTTCTGATATTTTTTCTTAAAATATAAAATAATAATAATGATTAATAAAATACCTTTACCAATTCGATTTTTCTTAATGGATTTTTATAACTTTTGAATCTTCTACAGTTTTTTTCTTGAGTTGAGCTTCGTATAGCGGTGTTTGAGTGAGGGAAAATGATTAAATGACCCTAGAACATGTTATCTAGCAAAAAGCTGTACCTACTGTAGCAGAGATTTTCAACTAACGACTTTCGCTGCGTAGCAACGCCTACGTCTGACTGTAGCGCGTAGACGTGCCGTAGCTTTGACCTCAGCCGTAGGCCCACGACCTTGTAATTGTTTAAAAAAGTGATATTTGAGAATTATACAAAAGAACATGTCAACACTCTCTTGATTGCTCCAAATAATATGCCTACAATAACTACTAATATAAGCTGATACTATCAAACAATGGTTAAGAATTTGAATGGGAATTCAATACGGTTTCACTAGTTTCCTTTTATCAAGTAAGGGACGACCTGGACTTGGACTGCACGACCTGGGTACGCTATCGAAGATATAATATCCTACTGTTACCAACTGATTTAGATGCCATTAGAACTTCAGATGAAACTCAAATGACGTTGAAGATAAGTTGAAGATCATATACACTTCTAAATAAATGTTCATTAGTACATTTAGTACGTACGTTAGGGGTTTTTTTTTTGGCAATTCTTGTAACTAAGAGACCTTGAGTTCATCTCACAACTGACAATAGTGCACTAGTTAATTTACATAATTAAATTTAATTAGTTAAAAAATTCCTTTAATTTTTCAACTCACATCAAATTATCACATCTTTCTTTTTTTCTTTTTTAAAAAAGACAGCTCCCGCATTAGGAATATATCCTGTGTCGCGGGGGACTTTACAAACATACATGAAACGGACACAAAGAACACCCAGACTCAGAACAACAATTTGTGGATCACACAAAGTGTCGTCCCATGTGGGGTTTGAACCCACAACACTCGGCGCAGTAGGAAGCGGCGTGGCGACCGCTTAAACCACTACGCCATCTGTGCAGTCAAACAGCCAAAGTCAACAGCCTTTTACACCCTTAGTCGGCTCTTACGACACTCTCGGGAAGAAAAGGGGTCTTGACACTCTGTATTCTTATCCCGTCACCACACGGACACGGCATTTTCCACTATTTTTCAATACTATTATTTCTCCTTTATCTCACTTTTTAATATCTTACCTTAGTATGTATACGCACTAACTTTTAAACTTTCGCGTTCCATGATAATTAATATTATTTTAACGGGAATTAACGCGATCTCTTATTTAGGGTAGGGCTGACTCCGCCTGTGACCACGGCCGGTGCAACCTGGTCGAAACGTCAGGCAAACCAGAGGTATGTAATACCCTAAATAAGAGATCGCGTTAATTCCCGTTAAAATAATATTAATTGTATACGCACTGTATGTTTTTGATTATTTACTCATAAACTTACTCTATATCTATTAATGTTGATTACCAGGATCACATCTATATTTTAATATTATAAAGCTAAAAAGTTTGTTTGTTTGTTTGCTTGACCGTGCGCTAAACTCAGCAACTTTTGATTCAATTTGAAAATTTCTTTCAGTGTTAGCTCATTTATCGAGGAGGGAATATATAATCGCGCTAAAACAAATAGGAGCGGAGCACCAATGAAGAATGTTGCAAAAACGGGTAAAATTTATTCCTTTTGAAAGACGTAGACGAAGTTGCGCGGGTCAGCTAGTATGTTATAAGTGTTGATAATGATTTGGTAAATAAAAGGCTTAAAGTAAACCTGCCAATAAATAGAGTAAGAGATATAAAGGTGGATTAAAAATAGAAATGTTTAATATGAACCAGGAAATTTATTTTCTTATCCTTATGTTTAAATGTTTGTTTCTCAATTACGCTAGAACGGCGGATCAGATGCTAATCAAATTGGTCACATAGATTGATTAAATTCTGTAATAGCATATAGGTTACCAATTCATCAAAGAATTTTAATCGTCGTTCGTTGGTCTAGTGGTTAGTGACCCTGACTGCTAAACCGGAGGTCGTGGGTTCGATTCCCACCCAGAACAAATATGTGTGTGATGAGCACGGTTGTTTGTTCTGTGTCTGGGTGTAATTTATCTATAATATGTATGTATTTAGAAATATATAAGTATGTTTATCAGCAGTCTGGTTACCATAGCACAGGCTCTGCCTAGTTTGGAATCAGACAGCCGTGTGTGAGATGTGTGATATTATTTAAAAAAAAAAAAAAGCTAAAATTCTCATGAAGCCAAACTGCGAGGAAAAGCACTCAAAGATCACTTGCGACTCTGAGCTGCATGTATCATTGAGCAGCCGGAGTCACTTGCCATTTTATAAAGGATCTATAAAGATAATTGTGGGAATAACTCCATTTCTAAAAATAAAACTGTTTCGTATTCCCTTTTCTGAATATTTACGAAATCAATCAACCTATTAATATTTATTACTGAACATAATAAATAATTATGAAACATCTAAGGTGTCATTAGATGCAAGTAGAGTAAATTAAATCACTTCCGGCCAATTAAGGAATGCAAAATGAGTCTTTTTTAGTAATATTTTACATTAAAATTAAAATTATACAATTTACAATAATATCAAGTCCTTAAATCTTTAAAAATTACCAAATAAATATAAATACAAGTTCAATAGAGTTTCACACAAAACAATATCTTTAATTAAGATATAAGAAAAAGTATATATAGGTAACTTAAATTCAAATAAATTGGTTTTTGGTTACCATCTATACCTGGTATCCGAGCAGTCTTTCCCACAGGAATGAATGATTGAGACCTAACGGTCTCTGAGACCAATTGCCTCATATCCGGCCAAAAAAAGGTAAACAGACTATACGGCACCCTTGCACTCAGGTAGACCGTTCATTCATAATAGTTATGAATGACCCATCCCTTTAGCGGTCCGTACGCTAATCAAAAAACGATGTCTCGATGTGTTTGTTTTTTTTTTAGCAGTATATTTATTGCGTTCATTATAAACTCAGAATAGATTAGGTATATCATTACGAAAAATTATAGCAAACACCTGCTATAAGTTTGTTACAGAAATACCGCGTGTTATATTTTCAAATATGAATGAGATTATTCACATAACATATAAATTTTCAATCACAGTCACATAACATTAAATTCAAACAACTATCAGAATACAAAATTGTTATCAGTATCTACTTGCGTGTGTATGTATGTATTTATATACTTTTATACAGTATTTATGTATTATAGGGTATGTACTAAGGTGTAGTATATGACAGATATGTATATGTGTATATATTATATGATTCTGTGCACAGTATACATACAATATTAAATGTTTAAATAAACTGTAACTAAAATACACGTACTTCCTGTTTCCTCTGCAGCACCCAAAGGTTGACTGGTAGAGAATGCCTTAGATATTAAGTCCGCCGATGCACCAAATGTGTATAATGTGTAAATAAATAAATAATTTCATGCTGCTGTAACTTTAAATACATAATTTGTAATAAAAGAATTTAGCATAAAATAATGATTTCTTTAATATTGTAACATTTTGTCTATAACTTTCAGTCGTCGTTTAAAGCGTTCATGATTTTCATTTGGAAGTTTAATAGAAGCAAAAGTCAAACAAATTTTTACGTTACGGTTTTTCATATGTATATATGTGTATTTCTTTGATTCGCTCTATAGCCTAAACGGCTTGATGGATTTTGGCGTTTGAAGTGTCATTAGGTTCGTCTTAATTGTAAGAGTGACTTTGATATACCTAGTATATCAAAATTATAAAAATTAAAATCCCTGATTTGCAAATTTTAAGCACACATTATTAGATTGAATCAAAATGTATACGGAACCAACGCATTACAACAGCTTGAACTTTTTTTTTGTCCTTCACACAAAAAGCTTCGAACCCGGTGGCCGGAACCTACCTTTTGTTGTACACTACAGCCATTGATCGAAGCACGTGCGTGCTTAGCGCGAACGAGGCTTCGTACCTGTCGTTTGTAGAAATTGGACGTTAATAGATGCTTTTTGTACTACTACCGAACTTTGTACTATCTTCAGGGTTTAAAAAAAATGTTTCCAATTTCTTTTTGAGAAGAGTACTAGTAACATGGGTCACATACTGGTCTTCTTCTCACCTCTCCTTCGTCTCCAGCTAAACTAAATAAACGTGTAAGAAGTTGGTTCCAGGTACCAGTGAAGGTTCTGAAGGTTACTGAAGGTTCTAAGCCACAAAAGAGGTTGAAATATTTAAAATATAAAATTTCTAGGTATTGATAGTGTTAATGTTGATATTGTCAATCCATTCACTATTCCCCGGAATCTGTATTTTTTCTGGATCTGATCTACCTCAGTATGTTTGTACCCTGTTATACTATAATATGCTAAGTTTCATGATCATCGCTTAAAAAGCTAACACCCAAAGTCACAACGCTTTTGAAAACTTCAAAATAAGTTACTACCTAATATGTACTTTTTAAATTTTTTCACTGTAACATACATCTATATCTATAGAAATAAATATTTTTTTTAGTGTCTGTTTGTAATATTAAAATAACCGCTTTTTAATAAATGCATATGTATGTTTACACGGTACATATGCCAAAATAACATTATTTACAATTTTTGTCTGTCTGTCTGTTTGTTCCGGGTATTCTCTGGA